TGACCGGGCAGGGCCAGAAAATCCTCGGTCAGGAGGACACGCAGGACCGCCTCGCGCACTTCAGGATGCGCAGATATGACATCAAGGATCTGCCGCAGCGGGTGCTCCGGCGGCAGATCGAGGTCCAGGATATACGATGTCAATCGGGTTACCTCAGTAACCGTGTAGGGCTGGTGGACGTTACTTCAGGTTAGCACACGGATCGCCCAGCGAGATCGGCCCGGCCGCCGACGCTTACTTGAACGCCGGGAAGACGTGCTTGCCGAACATCTCGATGGATTCCATGACCTTGTCGTGGGCGACGGTTTCGGTGGCCATCAGGAACTGGAGCTGGTCGACGCCGGTTGCTTCGTGGAGCTTGGCGGCCTGGATGCAGCTGTCGGGGTCGCCGGCGACGATGACGCCGCGTTCGGCCAGAGTGTCAGCGTCGAACTCCTCCCAGATCTTCTGGGCCAGGGCAGTCCCGCCGGAGAGGTCAACGCCACTGTCGGCGGAATCGCCCTCTGCGGACGTGTCGACATAGCGAGAGAAGTTCTGCTCCAGGTGCTCGGGGATGCCGCCCCACTGGTCGAGCAGTCGCGCATAAACATCCTTCTGGTCCTGCACGTAGGGACGGCCGGGGCCGAAGAAGGTCTTCAGGGAGTCGGCGCAGAGCCGGCGAGTGGCGCCGTTGTCGGGTCCGCAGAGGCCGAACACGGAGCTGAGCCATTGGTCGTTGACGAACTGCCCCACGGGTTGGGCGTTCTTGATGTTCTCCCGGTAGGCGGCGATGTGGGGCTCCAGCACGGAGGGCGCGCTGACGCCGAGGGCCATGACGCCGATCCCGCGCTGGGCAGCGAGTTCGTAGGTGGTCGGCTGGAGCGCGGCGACCCAGATGGGTGGGTGCGGCTGCTGGTAAGGCTTGGGCAGGACCTGACGGGGAGGCACATTCCAGTATTTGCCCTCCCATTCAAAGTAGTCGGAGTTCCAGATCTGGGGGATCATCTTGAGGGATTCCTCCCACATTTCGCGGGTGTCGCGCGGGTCGATGCCCATGCCGGTCTGCTCGTAGGCCGCGCTGCGCCCGGTGCCCATGTCCACCCGGCCGTTCGTGAGGTGGTCGACCATTGCCACGCGCTCGGCGACCCGAACGGGATGGTGATAGGGCAGGATGACGACGCCGAACCCGAGGCGGATGCGCTTGGTCAGGCGGCTCAGGGCGCCGAAGATGACCTCGGGACAGGGGGACATGCTGAAGGTAGTGAGGAAATGGTGTTCCACAAACCAGACGTAGTCGAAGCCCATCTCATCGGCCAGGCAGACCTGCTCGATGGTTTCCTCGATGACGGCGTGGTCGTCCAGTTCGGGACGCTGCATCTCGTAGGCAAGGCCGAATTTCATGGTAGTTTGCTCCCTTCTTGGCGGATGTTGGCGAGATTGTACCGCCGCCCCACGAGGGGGAGCAATGTTAGAATCAACGGGATACCCCGCCTCGCATAACTTTAGGAGATCGTCTGATGCGCTTCTTTCCCTTGCCCGCTGCACTGTTCGCAGTCGTCCTCCTGACGGCATCGTTGATGGTCGCCTGTGGCGGCCCGGCTTCCGAGTCTGCCGCCGCTCCGGCGGTTACGGCCGCGCCCGCAGCGGTGGCGGCAACCCAGGCCCCCCCAGCCACTGCGACCACCGTTCAAACAGCTGCACCCGCCGCCGCCCCAACTGCCGCTCCAACTGAGGCGATGGCGGCTACGGAGGTTCCCACCGAAACCCCGACGGAGGAACCGGTCGCGGCCGCGGGGCAGACCGTATTCACGCTGGGCCAAGGCACCATCGCCCGCTATCAGGTGGAGGAGGTGCTCGCCAACACCGGCTTCAAGATCGCCACGGGGGAAACGCCGGACGTGGCGGGGAGCATCGCCATTGACGCCGACGGGGTCGTGGTCACCGACGGAAGCCGCATCGCGGTGCAGGCAGCGACGCTGCGAACGGACAGCAACCGCAGGGATGGCTACGTGCGCAACCGCACGCTGGAGACGGATACCTACCCCGAGATAGTGTTCCAACCCACGGCTATAGACGGCCTTCCCGTGCCGCTGGCCGATGCCAGCGGGCCGGTGGAGTTCACCATTACCGGTGATCTAACGATCAAGGATCAGACGCGGGAAGTTACCTGGGACGCGATGGCTGACTTCCCGGGAGACGGGACCGTAAGCGGGACCGCCAGCATCGTGTTCACCTTCGAGCGCTTCGGGATGGACAAGCCACGGGTGGCGATAGTGGTGAGCGTCGAGGACGAAATCCTGCTGGAGCTGGACTTCGTGGGAACGATCACGGGGCCGTAATCAGGACGATATCCCGTTGCACGGGTGACGAGGCGTAGGGGCCGTCCTCGCTCATGTAGGCGTCGATCTCGGAGCGGACGCCGAACTCGGGCAGATAGATGCCGGGCTCGATGGAGAACCCGATGCCGGGAATGATGCGGCGGGTGTCGTGGGTCTCGAAGTTGTCCAGGTTGACGCCCTCGCCGTGGACGGTTTGGTAGATGCTGTGGCCCAGGCGATGGGTGAAGTAATCGCTGAAACCGTGATCTGAAATGTAGCTGCGGGCCACGTCGTCAGCCTGCCAGCCCTGGACGGGATCGCCGGCGGCGTAAGCATCCTGCAGGAAGGCTAGCGCGGCGTCCGGGCGCCGAGGACGATGTCGAATACCTGCCGGTGACGCTCGGACGGTGTGTCGCCGACGTAGGCGGTCCAGGTGATGTCGGCGTAGACGCTGCCGGGGGTGTCCTCCCGGGCCCAGAGGTCGATGAGGACCCAATCGCCGGGGGCGATGACGCTGCTCCCCTCGGGGGCGGGTTCGTAGTGAGGATCAGAGCAATGGGCGTTGGTCGAGACGATGGGGCCGTCGGCGGTGATCAGTCCTTCTTCGCGGAAGCGCCGCCGGATGAACTCGGCAATCTCGAACTCGGTGGGGCCGTCGGCCAGGCGCTGGCCGATGCGGGTGAAGGCCTCATTGACGATGCGGCCCAGCTTTTCTGCGGCGCGTTCGTGCCCCGCCAACTGCTCGGGAGACCATCGCTGGGTGGCGTACTGCATCAGGTCGGCGGAGGAGACCACTTCGGTGCCCATGCTGCGAACCAGCTCGACGGTTCCGGCATCGACCCGGGAGACGCGGGGCAGACCGTTGCGTGGAGAGTATTCCATGGCAACTCGGGAGCAGCCGTCCAGCGCGGCCTGCAGGCATGTTCCAGGGTGGCGCGGCTGCTGTAGACGACGGTTTGGACATCTTCGGTTTCGCCGGCATCGCGAATTTGCCGGCGTCCACGTGGTGGGTGAGCAACGCTGGAACGCCGGCGGCGGGCACGAACAGGAAGACGGGGCGGGTTACGTGGCCCGACGGCGGGGCAACTTGAGCGAGGACGGGGTTGCAGCCCAGGTAGTCGTAGATGAGCCAGGCGGGGAGGTCTTCCGCCTGCAGGAACTGGCGGGCGTCGTTCAACATCCTGGCGTTGACGCATCGGAGGCCTCCTCGGGAAAATGCGAGGCCTCCAGGGCCCGGCAGGATCAGGCGTAGTTTGTGGTGGATGCGCCGTCGACGATGATGTTGGCGCCGGTGAGGTAGGATGCCTGGGCCGAGGCGATCATGCACACGATGTCGCCGATCTCCTTGGGCGTGCCCATGCGTTTCATGGGAGCCTCGGAAATTTCCTCCAACTTGGCTTCGGCGCACGCCTGCTCATCGGCCACGTCATCAGTGGATTGGTGGTCCTGGGAGCGCGCCCGATCCTCGATCTCGTCGCTGTCCACGCCGGCGTAGATCACGTTGTTGACCGTGATGTTGTTGGGAGCGAGCTCCGAGGCCAGTCCCTTGAAGTAGGCCAACACCGGGGCGAGACTGAGGGAGGACAGGGTGTTGCGTGGGGACACTCTCCATCGCGGAGAAGGGCACGAGGTTGATGATACGGCCCATACCGTAGCGCCGCATGTGGGGGAGGACTTCGCGGGTCAGGTGGACCGCGGACATGAAGTTGCGGGCCAGGGCCGGCTCGATCTGCTCGTCTTCGAGTTCGCTGGCCGGCGAGTTGCCCTGGTCCTGCACGGTGGTGACCATGACGCCGATGTTGCCCTGGCGGTGCAGGGTCGCGCGGACGAGGCGGTGGATGTCCTGCTCACGGTCAAGGTCGGCGATGACGGCGCGGAAGCGGTCCTGGGGGATGTGCTTGCGGGCAAGCGCCATTTCAACGTGGCGCATCCGGTAGTTATCCGGTGCGGTCAACGAGAGAATCGCGCCTCTTTGGCCAACGCGTGTAGCGGTGGCCGTGGCGATCGCCAGGTGCGAGTCAAACCACCAGGACGACCGTATCCTGGAGTCCGAAGTCCATTTCGACTGCCTCCCTGCCCTCACGCCGGCCGGATTTATATGACTCCGGAGGTAGCCATTTGGTCGATTTCGGCGTCCGGATAACCCAGGTCGTTGAGTATTTGCCGGTTGTGCTCACCCAGGAGCGGCGGGTGCTTCTCCAGTTCGCCAGGCGTTGCGGAAAACTTGATGGGCAAGCCGGTCTGCTGGATTGAACCGAGGGTCGGATGAGGCATTTCCAGGAGCATTTCCCGGTGCTGCACCTGCGGGTCGTTGAAAACGTCCTTCAGGTCGTTGATGGGGCCGGCGGGAACGCTGACGGCCTGCAGGTCGGCGACCCAGTCGTCGGCGTCCTTGCTCCGGAAGTGCTCCTCCAGCATCTGCACCAGCTGGGAGCGGTGGTTGACCCGATCGCCATTGGTGGCGTAATCGGGGTCGTCCTTCAGCTCCGTGCGGTCGATGCCCCGGCAGAACCGTTCCCAGAGACGCTCGGAGCCCACCGCGACGTTGAAGAACTTACCGTCCCCGCCCTTGAAGCCCTGGTAGGGCACAAGGGTGGGATGGGCCGCGCCCAGCCGCTGCGGAGCATCGCCGGTGGCGAAGTAGTAGCCAGCCTGGTAGGTCATCCAGGCGATCTGGGCGTCGAGCATGGAGAGGTCGATGTACTGGCCTTCTCCGTTGCCGCTGGGGGAGTTGCGATGGAACAGGGCGGCCATGACGGCGAAGGCAGCCCACATGCCGGCGCCGATGTCGGTCACGGCGATGCCGACCTTCTGGGGGTCTCCGCCGAGGTCGCCGGTGATGCTCATCAGGCCACTGACCCCCTGCATGATCTGGTCGTAGGCCGGCCGGTCGCGGTACGGGCCGCTGGCGCCGAAGCCGGAGATCGAGCAGTAGACGATGCCGGGATTGACCTTCTTCATGTCCTCGTAACCAAGGTTGAAGTTGGTCATCACGTCGGGGGTGAAGTTCTCAACGATCACGTCAGCGTCGGCCGCCAGCTTGAGGAAGATCTGCTGGGCCTGCTCGTCGCGCAGGTTCAGGGTCAGGCTGCGCTTGTTGCGATTGACCGAGAGGAAGTATGCGGACTCCTCGCCGATGAACGGAGGTCCCCACCCGCGGGTGTCATCGCCGGCGCCGGGCCGCTCGATCTTGATGACGTCGGCGCCATAGTCGCCGAGCATGGTCGCGCAAAATGGACCGGCCAAGGCGCGGGTCAGGTCCAGTACCTTGATGCCTTCCAGGGGTCTCATGTCCTGCTTTTCCTCCGGGGCAACCGGGCCAGACGCGAGTCAAGCGGTCACCGCAATGTTTGGGGTTTCGGCGCGCGTAATTATAGCGCACTCATCGAAAAATTCTTATAAAAGGAGCACGATTTTATGTCATTTGACTGTTCGCCGCCACTTCGTAGTCGACGGAAAGCGTGGAATCGTGCCGGAGCCCGCAGCGTAGCTTCGTATTCACGGGGCGGCGGGCTGACTTATGGTCATACGAGGGCGGCATCCGGATGCTGAATGCGGCAGCCTGGCTGAATGGCAACGGTCTGTCACGTATGAATCGAGTAGGCCTTTGTGCGATTCTAACACAACCAAGGGCGCGCAACAGGCAAACCGGGGCAAATTTCCAGTGCTGGCATGCCCGTATGGTAAGATGGCACCATCACGCTAATGTCACCGTCCCACCCCACATTGCGAGGTGAACCATGACCACCACTCAGCGATCCGCCGCTACCAACGGCTACAACGTAATCGGGAGCCGACCCATCCGCCACGACGGGACCGATAAGGTCACCGGCCGGGCGCAGTACGGCGCGGACCTGTCGCTACCCGGGATGCTCTACGGCAAGGTGCTACGGAGTCCGCACGCCCACGCGCGAATCAAGAGCATCAACACCAGCAAGGCGGAAGCCATGCCCGGTGTGCACGCCGTTGTAACGTCGCCGACCTGCCGCAGGCGGGCGGGCGCGTGCTGGACCTGGGCGAAGGGGCAATGATCAACCCCAAGTTCCTGAGCAACAACTGCCTGGCGGCAGAGAAGGCTCTGTACAAGGGGCATGCCATCGCCGCGGTGGCCGCGGACAGCGCCCACGAAGCCGAGCTGGCGCTGGCGTTGATCGACGTTGAGTACGAGTTGCTGGAGCCCGTCACCGACGTGCTCGAGGCCATGCGCGACGACGCCCCGCTGGTCCACGAGCGGCTGGCCAACCTGAACGACCCCAACGTGCGTCCCGGCGGCCTGCTGGGCGATGGCGACGCCGGCAAGGTGGGCAACGTGCCCAACCGCTATTTCTACGAGCTGGGCGACATCGAGGCCGGCTTCGCCGCCGCCGACGTGGTCATCGAGCGCGAGTTCCGCACCAAGGCGGTGCACCAGGGCTACATCGAGCCCCACGCGGCAACGGCCCTGTGGAACGCCGACGGCACCCTGCACGTCTGGTGCAGCAGCCAGGGACACTTCAACGTGCGGGACCAGACGGCGACGGTCCTAGGCATGCCGGTGTCCAAGGTTCTGGTGACGCAGCTTGAGATCGGCGGAGGGTTTGGCGGAAAGACGCTGGTGTACCTGGAACCCGTGGCGGCCGTGCTGTCGCGGAAGACGGGCCGCCCGGTCAAAGTGCAGATGTCCCGCATCGAGGTCTTCGAGGGCACCGGCCCGACATCCGGTGGCTACCTTCGGGTGAAGATGGGGGCCACCAACGACGGCAAGATCACCGCGGCGGACGTGTCACTGTACTACGAGGCCGGCGCGTATCCCGGCTCGCCGGTGAACCCGGGCGCGCAGTGCGCTCTGTCCTGCTACAACATCGCGAACGGACGGGTCGAGGCGGCCGACGTGGTGCTGAACCACCCCAAGACGGCGGCCTACCGCGCTCCCGGCTCGCCGGCAGCGGCCTTTGCCGTCGAGTCGGTGGTCGACGAGATCTGCGAACAGATCGGCATGGACAAGATGGACTTCCGCACCCTGAACGGCGCCAAGCAGGGCGACCGTCGGGTGACGGGTCCGCAGTTCGGCAGCATCGGCTGGATGGAGACGCTCCAGGCCGGCCGGGAGCACGACCACTGGAACTCTCCCATCGACCGGTCGCCGGAAGCTGAGGGCAAGAAGGTGGGTCGCGGCGTGGCCGGCGGCTTCTGGTTCAACGGCACCGGCCCGGCCAGCGCCATCGTGAGCGTGCTCGCGGACGGCACGGTGAGCCTGGTGGAAGGCTCGCCGGACATCGGCGGCTCCCGCGCCGTGGCGGCGATGCATGTGGCCGAGGTGCTGGGCATCGCAGCTGAAGACGTCTCCCCCGCGGTTGGCGACACCAACTCCATCGGGTGGACCTCCATGACCGGCGGCAGCGGCGTGGCCTTCAAGACGGGCTGGGCCTCCTACGAAGCGGCCCAGGATGTGAAGCAGCAGATGATCACCCGCGCCGCGCGCATTTGGGACATCGACTCCGAAAACGTGGAGTACTCGGACGGCGTGATCCAGCACAAGTCGGAGCCGGAGCTGCGGTTCACCTTCAAGGAACTGGCGCCGCGGCTGAACGGCACCGGCGGCCCCGTCGTGGGTCGGGCCAACGTGTCGCCCACCGGTGTGGGTGGGGCGTACGCGCTGCACATCGCCGACGTGGCGGTGGACCAGGACACCGGCAAGGTGGACATACTGCGCTACACCGCGCTCCAGGACGTCGGCACCGCCATCCACCCCTCCTACGTGGAAGGGCAGATCCAGGGCGGCGCCGTGCAGGGCATCGGCTGGGCGCTCAACGAGGAGTACTACTTCAACGACGACGCCCAGATGCAGAACTCCAGCTTCCTGGACTATCGGATGCCCACCGCGCTGGACCTGCCGATGATCGACACGGTGGTGGTGGAGGTGCCCAACCCCGGGCATCCCTACGGCGTGCGCGGCGTGGGCGATACCCATCGTCCCGCCCATGGCCGCCATCGCCAACGCCATCCACGACGCTACGGGCGTGCGGATGACCAACCTGCCCATGAACCCCGGCGCGGTGCTCGAAGCGCTGTGGGAACAGAACGGCGGTTAGCGTCGACGTTACAGCGACGGCAAGAACGGTAGGGGCGGACGATTGTTCGCCCCTGCTGTCGATTGGCACACCATAATGGGGCTAGAGGGGTCAGGCTATGAATGACGACTCACTTGCTCTGCTTGACCAAGCCGACCGCACTATCGCGTTGGGAGATCATGATCAGGGATCCGTGTTGCTGTGGAAGGCTGCGGAACATGCGATGTCCAGTCTTGCCGAACACCATGGCCGACCTCACAGCGATGAAGAAGATCTGATGCGCTTCGCCAAATGGCTGGACCAGAAGCATGACCGTGGCGTGGAGAACTGGCATCTTCTGGGTTACTTCGCGGCAGGTTCGTTCAGGGACAATGCCCGGTGGCATTACGAAGACTGGGAGGAGATGCGTCATTCCGTCCCGGACATCAGGGTGTTCGTGAGTACCCTGCGCGGTTATCTGGAAACCGCCGGATGACTTTACAGGCGCGTGTTGATGTAGCCCAACAATACAGAGCGTCGTCCGATCGTTTGATTTCAGAACACGAAGATGCAGCCGCTGGCGAGATGCTTTGGGGCGCTGTTCACAATGCGATACAAGCGATTGCGATCCGACATAGCCTCATAACAGGAACGGACGGGGCATTAAGGCGTGCCGTAGTGATCCAACACCTGATGGAGAGGCACGGGTACGATTTGTATTTGCGCAGTGGACTCAGGTCCGCAGGTTCGCTTCACGGTCACTTCTATAACCGGAACCTGTCGTTGGATACACATCGAGCATTGATGCTACTGACCCGGAGCTATGTCGATAGTCTAATTGTTGCCGCCCTACCGGCGTAGTGACGACTAAACGCACCGAACTAATTGCCAGTGCACCTTGGCGGGAGGCGGTCACGTACCGAGAGACGTGGTCGCATGAGTATGTGCTGCTGCAGAAGGACGGGCAGCAGGAGTTGCCGGAGGCGGTGTGTCGACGGAATGCGACAGGTGATGTTGACGAAGGAATAGACAGATGGCTTGTCATGAACTGAGTGAAATGGACCGACTTCCGGTGCGTGAAATTTGGCCACTCGAGACCGACTTCACGGGCTGGTTGGCTGAGCGCATGGATTTGCTGAGTGAGGCGGTGGGTATCGAGCTCGAGTTGATTCAGGAAGAAGCGCCACTACCAGGCTGGGGTGGCCGGGTTGACATTTTGGCCAGGATCGCTGGGACGGACAGTGACAAATATGTAACTGTCGAAAACCAGATGGAAGATTCGGATAACGACCATCTTGCGGGGTTGCTAAATTATGCGTCCCAAAGCGGTTCCAAGATTCTGATCTGGGTAGCGGGCGGGTTCACAGAATGGCATCGCCGCACTGTGGACTGGCTAAATGAACACGATGGTCTAGAGATATACGCCGTGAAAATGAAGGCCTGGCGAAACGGTGACTCGATTGAGCGAGGACTCGAACTCGTTGCCGGTCCGAATCATCGGCTGAAATGGCCTGGATACACGTACCCTGCCGTCGAACGAAGTTATCTCGATTTTTTCCAGCCGGTGGTTACGAAATTATCGGAGAAAGGCATCGTCGACACGAGCGTAGCCAAGGCAAGCAATGACCAAACATTTCCAAGCGGTTTCCCTGGTATCGCGTACAATATTGGCTTCTGGCACAGCTTCGGCCGAGGGCCATCACTCGACGTGTACCTATGGATTGGTACGCCTAAAAGAGAACTAAACAAGGCGATATTTGACGGGCTGTACCGGCATAGCGCGGAGATCGAACGTGAATTGCCCGGCGTGTCGTGGGACCGCCGGGACAATCAACGAATGTGCACAATAAATTTCATCAAAAGAGGCGCCATTGATTATCCGGGCGAGCAACTTGCAGAGCTACAAGAGTGGGCGATAGAAACGCTCCGCAGTCTCAAATCCGCAATCCAGTCCCACCTTGAAACGGTTATGAACGAACTTGAGCCGTAAGGGGAAACACCCGCCCCTATCGCCAAATCGCGATGACGAGATCAATGAAACTCACCGAACTCATCGCCGCCGCGCCCTGGCGGGAGGCGGTCACGTACCGCGAGACGTGGCCGCATGAGTATGTGCTGCTGCAGAAGGACGGGCAGCGGGAGTTGCTGGAGACGGTGTGTGAGCGCTTTCGCAACGGTGAGGGCGTTCCCGCCCGGTTCTTCGCCATGGACAACGTGTACCTGTTCATCGGCGATTACAAATACTGGCTGATGACGCATTTCGACGAGGTGGATTGGGATGATGAAGAAGTCCTGAACCGCGCCCGCTTGTATCACGACCGCCGCGACTTTATCATTCAGAACGGCGACACTGGTCGCCGCGAAGACTATCCGGCAAACCCGCCGCACCGACGGCACTCCGACTGACGCGACACAGGAGCAAAAAAACGATGACGACCACGGAACAACAAACTGACCTGAAGCCCTACGTGGTGCACACGGTGGGCGATGCCTCGGAAACTGTCCAGACGCCGGGGATGGTGCGCCAGCCGGCCGTCGTGCCGGGGAAGGGCGACACCACCAAGATCTGGATGGGCAAGGTGACGGCCGCGCCGCGCGAAAAAGGGCCGCCGCACACACACCTCGAGGCGGAGACCGCCGCCTACGTGATCAAAGGGCATGTGCGGGTCTATTTCGGCGAGAACTTCGCGGAGTGGATCGAGGCCGGGCCTGGCGACTTCATCTTCGTGCCGGCGAACACGCCGCACATCGAGGAGAACCCCTACGACGAAGAGCAGGAGGGCATCCTGTGTCGCACGCCGGACAACCTGGTGGTGAACCTGTAAAGGACATCGGCATTGCGATCAACTGGGGGCGAGTGATCATTCGCCCCTACGTTTTGGCGTCGGGTGCGCTCTCGCCGCATTTGACCGTAGTTGCGATTTGGTGAATAATCACTGCGCCGGCTGTCCTTGCCGCTAACTTGGGCACACGGCGGACCGATAGCCGGTCGCTAAATTGTCAGCAACCACGAGGAGGATTCACAATGGCGGATGTCAAAGTAGAGATACGGGGCAACGGCCCGCTGCGGGTCATTGGCGAGATTGAGATTGTCGACCAGAGTGGCAACAACTACACCATTCCCGAGGGTCAGTGGGTCTCCTTCTGCCGCTGCGGACAGTCGGACAATAAGCCCTTCTGCGACGGCACGCACCGCGACTGCGGGTTTGAGGGCGTCAGCGAGGCAAAGTAAAAACCGCGCCGCTGAATTCGGGCGCTTAGAGCCGCCAGCCGCCGGCACGACAAACCGGCAGCCGGCGGCTTTTGCTAATATGGAGCAACCGTACGGACAGGGATTACAGGCGTCATGCACGGACTGGTTCCGGGAACAGTTCCGCGGGATTTATTCCACAGCCACGAGATTGCCACGCTTCGCTCGCAATGACAATTTGGGCGTGTGACGGCAGTTGATGAGCAAAGACTTTACCCCAGGAGGCGCACCATGGTAACCACGACACCGGCCCGCGCGGCCGCCGAGTTCATATTCGAGAGCTACCGCAAGGTGCAGCCTTTTGAGCGGCTGCCGGCCGACCTGTTTCCCAAGACGCTGGAAGAAGCCTACGCCATTCAGCTGGAACTCCACTGCATGCTGTCCAGCCTGTGGGGGCCGCTGGCGGGGTACAAGCTGGCGTACACCACGCCGGTGATGCAGGAACGGGCGGGGCTGAACCATCCGGTGCTGGGCGGCGTGTTCCAAAAGACCATCCTGCGCTCGCCGGTGGTGCTGAACTTCACGGAGTACGTCAACCTGGGCATCGAGCTAGAGGTAGGCGTGACGCTGGGAAAGGATTTGCCGGCGTCGGGCGCCCCCTACACGAGGGACTCGGTGGCGGAAGCGGTATCCGAGGTGGCCACGGCCTTCGAGATCGTGGACATGCGGACGCCCGCCGATCTGACCACGGAAGAGCGCACGCTGATGAGCGTGGCGGTCAACATCCTGAACTCCGGCGTGGTGCTGGGCGATCCGGTTACGGACTGGCAGAGCCTGGACCTGGTGGGTTGCAAGGGCGTGATGAGCATCAACCACGAGCAGGTGGGCGAGGGCTACGGCCGGGACGTGATGGGCCATCCCTTCGAGCCGCTGGTGTGGCTGGCCAACGAGCTGTCGGCGCGTAACCATCCCCTGAAGGCCGGCGACACGGTGATTACCGGAAGCCTCATTCCGCCTACCCCGCTGGGCTTCGCCTCCGAAGGGCGTATTTCCATCGAAGGTCTCGGCGAAGCGGTGGTGGTCTGCGCCTAGCGCTTCCCCGCGTTCCCCGAATCTGAGCTGCCCGTTTCAACCCACAGGGCATAGACGGCGCGGCGCGGGAGGCCGGTAGAGGCGACGACCTCGGCCACCGCGTCGCGCCCGCGTTTGCCGGCGGCGCGGTGTTCCGCCAGTGTGTGGCGGGCCGTTTGCAGCAGTTCGTCCTGGCTGGCGGTCTGATCCGGTGCGTCGAGGGTGACCGGGACCGATGACGACGGTGAACTCCCCGCGTGGCGCGGCGAAGTAGGCCAGGGCGTCGGAGGTGTTGCCGCGCCAGATCTCCTCGTGCAGCTTGGTGAGCTCGCGACACACCGCAATGGGTGGGTCGTTCAAAGCATCGGCGATGTCGGTTAGCGTCGCCCGAAGCCGGTGAGGAGATTCGAACAGCACGAGAGTCTGGCCCAAGCGAGCGGCGTCGGTCAGTGTCGTAGAGCGGTTGGAACGACGGCGGGGCAGGAAGCCGAGGAACTGGAATTGGTCGGCGGGGAAACCAGCGACGGATAGGGCGGCCGTGACGGCGGAGACGCCGGGGATGGTGACCACTGAGTGACCGGCTTCGGCGACAGCGGCGACCAGGCCGGCTCCAGGGTCGCTGATGGCCGGAGAGCCCGCGTCAGTGGCCAGGGCGACATCGCCTTCATCGAGCGCCTCCAGCAGGCGGGGCAGTTGCCGTTTCCAGTTGTGCTCGTGGCAGCTGAGCAGGCGCGGGTGGGCGTCGAGATGGGCCAGCAGGCGGCGGGTGACGCGGGTGTCCTCGGCAGCCACGAGGGGCACGGAGGACAGGATGCGGCTGGCCCTGAGGGTGAGGTCCCCCAGATTCCCGATGGGAGTGCCAATTACGTAGAGTGCCCACGGATGAGAGTATAACGCGTACGGAACCAAGGACCTTTTGATCGTTGGATCTGCAGGAGTGGTCATAAGTGGTATGAACGCAACCGCACTCAACGCTGCCTCCATCCTGCTATAATCAGGTCAATCCGGGTTCTTTGGTTACATTTGCTGGTTTGCGGCCTGAGCTTGGAGGGTAATATTGAAAAGTTGGACAGTGTTACATTAAGGCGCTAACCCAATCATAACCAAACAGTATTTTGTTTACGACCCTCAAGGTGAAGTTCGATTCGCGGAATTTTTTATACGTTCCGGAGTCACTGTTGATCCTGATGTTTGGGCAGCATACCTAGAGCGTGTCTTCATTCAGGAATTCCAGAATGTGTTTGACACATTGGTTCAGTCTGACTACGACAGAACCTGATTTCTGTCGCGGGCTTTGTGTGCCGCCCGGGCAGATGTACCTTGATCACGGTGCCACGTCCGTACTCGAACCGGCGACACATGGGATCAAGCCATGCTCTACCAGACTGAGGTACCGTGCCACCGCTCCATGCTAAAGCTAACGCGACGTAGGGTCAAGCCGCGTCAGTTGGGCGCAAGGGAGCCGTCGGTTCCACTGATGTCATGCTGGACGACCCGACAGCGATATGGCGAGGCTGTCGTGATGTCCGCTGGTGGAGTCGGAGTCACGCGGCGCGCTCTCAGCAGCCTTCTCCAGAGAGGATAGTTTTTCACCGGAGGGCGGAGTTGCCATCTGGACGGTCACGACGATTTCATGGCGTCGCTGTCGTATCGGTACACGCGGTCCTGTACACCGTCTCTGCACATCACATCACCAGCACAACCGCGAAATGGCGCTCGATTACCGCTCCTCCACCTCCCGCGTTGGTGAACCGGGGTTCTTTACCGTCTTGTTTGTGTTATGTAGGCTTTGTTGTTTTGTTGGTCGCTGTGGGCGGTACGTTAGTACGGTGTGTTGAGGGTCGTGACCGTAACGTGAGGGTTTTCGGACTGGAATTTGTCGATGGCATTTCGGGCGTTGCCGGAGATGGAACCTGAAAACTTGATCCAGGCCGATGACCCGCTGGTCATGGCAACATCAACGACGCTGTCGGGGTTTTCCTTCTCGATGGCCGTTACCATCTTTGAGAAATCATCGCGCCAGGCAAAACGCATGATGGATTCATCGAGAGTGATGCCATCCTGGTTCGCGATGGATTGCAAGTCGTTCACTTCAGCGGGGCTGTTAATGCTGGCGTGTTGGCGGATTAGCGCAGCTACTTCATCGGGGGTCAATGTCGCCAATTTCTGGTGACTTGCCACCGGTTTTGCACGTTGTGCCGGGGGCGGGTGCCATCGCCACGATTACGACCCCGACCGCGATCACGACCAGGATGCCGCCGTAGGCGAGCCACATGTACCAGCGGGTCCAACGATTTTTGGTGAGTTGAGTCGTTCATTCTCGTTCATCATCGGGAGCCTCCTGCGGGACGGGCGGCCATACTAAAGGCCTAGTCGTTTGACCGAGCCCTAGGCTACGGTCACGGCGCGTGCCCCGTAGGCGTTGCACCGCCATATCGAGTATATCCCGGGAATTTCCGGTCAGCAGCAGGGCCATCATGGAACTGGCGTAGGCAGCCAAGAAACGGCCAGCACGACGCGCCGAGGTCGGTGATGAACGAAGCGGGCAGGCCGCCTTGCAGAACTCGCACCGTGCGGTTCGGATAGACGATCTCGCCGGCTATCCTGAAGTCACGGTACTGCGGCAGCGCCCGTTGCACGGCGTAGATGTATAGCATCACGAGAAAATTTCGCTACTCCAGATTCGGATGGAGAGTAGCTGAAAGTAGCCAAACTTTCTACGAATCTCGTCACTGCGTTGAGCCGACCACAGTAGTACCGTCAGTCCCGGTGACGTTTAGATCGCTCGTCACCCGAGGCGCCGGGCGGCGGACCTCCGTTTAGGAGGCGCCGGATTAGGACACTGCTACTTGGAGTACGCCAGTAGTTACCGCGAGTCCGCTCTGCCTATGACGATTTTGGCATCTGGCGCTGGTAACAAGACTAGCCGCCCCGTCGTCGGTGGCGGCCGGCTGCGTCGGAACAGGTCGTGGTGTCAAAGGCGTTGGCAAAACATGCCAGCGGAGCGGCGGAATGTTGTACCACCTGGATGATGCCTGACGTCATGGCTATGACTGGCGGTGAGGCGATGGGGGTCTGAGTGAGGCCGCAGCTGCCGTTGATCTAAGAGGGTGTCTAAAAATGAGGAAGGCGGGCCAGTCTGCGCAGGGTGAGGCCGGTCATTGCGATGTAAATCCAGGTTTCGGTGGTTTCACACAATGCTTCGTAGTCCTTGCTCAACCGTCGTTGCAGGTTCAGCCAACCGAAGGTGCGTTCCACGACCCACCGCCGGGGGCAGCACCTGAAAGGTATGCTGCTGTGCTGGGCGCCGCACCAACTCCAGGGTCCAGCCGCCCACCGTCCTGGCCCACTCTACCAATTTGCCGCCGTAGGCCCCATCAGCCCAGATCAGCTGTAGTCGAGGGAAACGGCCCAGCAGCCGGGTCAGTACCAACCGGGCGCCGTCCCGGTCCTGAATGTCGGCGGGATGCACTGCCACCGCCAGCGGCAGCCCCAGGGTATCCACCACGATGTGGCGTTTGCGGCCCTTCACCTTCTTGCCGGCGTCGTAGCCTCTGGGCCCCCCTTTTTCCGTGGTCTTCACCGACTGACTGTCGATGATGGCCGCGCTGGGACTGGCCTGGCGACCCTGAGCCTGGCGCAGCTCGGCGTGCAGGACGCCATGTACCCGTTGCCAGGTGCCATCACGACGCCAGGTCCGGAAGTAGTGGAAGACAATGCGCCACGGCGGCAGGTCGTGGGGCAGCATCCGCCAGGAGCACCCAGTGCGCAGCACGTAGCGGATGGCGTTGACGATCTCCCGACGGGGGTAGGTGATGGGTCGGGCCGCCCGGTTTGGGCGGTGGCAGCAATGGTTCCAGCAGTTGCCATTCTCGGTCGCTGAGGTCGCTGGGATAGGCTGGTCGTTTCATGCCCCCACGTTACGACCAACCCCCTTATCACGCCGATACCTCACCCGCCTACCAACCTAACCACCCCCCTACGCCCCCCCACCATCCATCTACTACCCCAATTTCAACAAACATTTTAGACGCCCTCTAAACGTCGTCCGGTTCGTCTGGGGAAGCCGAGGTGGTGTCCTGCCGGCTGCCCTTGAGGCGGTAGCCACCTCTGGCGATAGGGGCGGCGGTTCTCCTCCCATTGCGCTTGATAAGTATCAATTATCAAGTACCATCCATGCCCTGCGCTGGCACGGGGAACCATGCTCCGCCTCCGCCAACTACCCGTTACGGGTTATTCGAACTGCGAAGTTCCTGGCATCCTGCGCCAAATCGTGCGTCGCACGTATGACCAGTGCGAGCTCCCGCCCCACGCTGCCAGCTGTCCACTCTGGCAGCGAGACCGATAGGCCGAGATCCGAGGGCGTCAGGGTACCCCGCATATCTGCCGGCCAGTGGATTTGATCTCCATCAGGTACTGGGACTGGCTGCCAGTCGTATCCCACATACTGCATGTCGGCCACCGTATGACCGCCGAACATCTCCTGGTCAAAAGCGACCACCGCCTCCACTTTCGATTTGGAGCCAAGGTTGAAGAAATTCTCGCCAGGGGTCCCCCTGTCGGCAACGCCGTCTTCCAGCGTCCCATGTCCTGGTTCCAGGTCGAATGCTACCACCTGTAGACTGGACAGCTCCAAGGCCCCGAAACGCCGGAGCGCGTCATCGAAGCACTGGACCAGTGGAGGTAACACCACCGCGGGATTGGCAATACCATCTTTCAGTCCGACCTGTACCCATCCGATCTGCGCTCCTTTGGCCTCCGGAGTCAGTTCCGCCTCGTTCATACCCCACAGGAGACGGTATGGCGGTCGGGGCGTTACTGTTGACCGCGTCGTCCGTCCACGCCCGTCGATCGTAGTCGTCATACTGTTGGTCATGGACCAGCCCATCATTTCAGCACGGGCGTTGAAACGCTGTAGAGGTCCTCCTCCACGGAGTCCACGCCCGCGCTGGCAGTGTCTGTGAAAGTTCCCCAAAGGCTTGGAGAACCAAAGTCGGATGCATAGTAGAGGTCCTCCTCTGGCGTATCTGGAGCGTCGTGGTAACAAGGTCGGATGCAACGGTTATGCATCCGACCGAAATTCAGGGGTTGAGGGCTACGAGTATGGTTCCGGGGGCCGGCATTGGAGTTCTTCTCCAGCTGACTCTAGCTTTTGCGACGGGTCCCATATACCGACGAGGTCCACGTCAACGACACTGCGGAATCCAGTTCCTATGTTCGAAGCGCAGTCGCTCCGTCCGGTTACTCTCTTGCCACTACCGACCTCCACCTGGCCAGAGGTTCGCGTCGTCTTCACCGTCTGGTTGAATGGTTTCCCACCAGCAGACTTCAATGCCCCCAGTAGGACTGGCACATCAGCCCCTGGAGTTGGACGTTGACATCGGCTTTGCTTGGGCAGCCTGTGGAACTAACTGTCTCCCACCATCCGTGGACTGAAAGCTGTGAGCCCGAATGGTGGATATCGTCGCTCCTGGTCCTGTAGGTGCAATTCCCGGCTGTCGAAGTTAGCGAACCGGCCATGGGCATTTGCGAACGGGACACGGCGCTTGGTAAATCGTCCGGGCTGGCGGAGGCGCCATGGGGATCGCCCTCGAGGACGTCGGTAGGAACGTCTTCGCGGCTTCGTAGATTTCGGCTTCGCCGCCTCTGGCTTTGACCTCGTCCAAGGACGCCCAGTCTGCCGTTCCTGACTGCTCGGATGTGCCCTGGGGATAAACCTCCTTGACAGGGCCCTCCGCGCGGCGACGCCGGTGAACATGATCATCATCGCCAGTGATGCCAGTAATAATAGACCCTTGGTTTTCATCATAAACCTCTCTTGTGAGTTGTTCCGCAGGTGGGCTTGCAGATAATTCGCGCGGATCCTACTCGCTGCTAGGTTCACTGCTTGGGTGGGGTATCTCTATTCCCAAGCTCCCCACACGTGGAAATGCTAATCGGCATGG